AGTGACCCACACATGCCCCATAGCATAGAGTCTAGCTTCGGTCAAGGCAAAGCCGGTTCCAATAGCCTTTACAATCTTATGTTTGGAATATCTCCATACTTGTATAATTTATTTCATGGGAGATATTTTCGTTGCAAAATTGCAATGAGCTGCTAAAACAATGCAAGCACCGACTTGCACTGACAGAAGCTGAACTCCATAGCATATCCCAACCATACATTGAAAACATCTTCCCATAATAAGTACAGGAGATATTCCTAATGCATGCTGAGAAGTGTGTATATCATCAATGCTGCATCTACACATTTTTGTTCATTGTGTTTGGAACTATTGCCCAACCTCAAATGTTCAGATTGATAATGGTACATTCATTTTCATATGACACTTATTGTTGGTACTTGTGTTGATTATGCATTCAACAAGTATTTTGTTTTTAGCGGTATTGTATTTGATACTGACATTGCCACCTGAAACCTTTAAATGAAATGTTTATGTTGAATGTGACACCATCCTACTTATATATATGATCTCTCATCCAATGGTCAAATTTTAAAATAATGTTTTATAATGATTTTATGGCCATTTTACACATAAATTAACATCTAGATGCAAATATTATGGAACCAAACATCATCACCATTGTCTATTGGATAGTATATTTGAATATTTACTAGAATGGCACAGTTGGGATGATAAAAAGTATTTTTCTATAAATGTTAATGTAAAAATTGATTAAACGAAATTAACTAAACAAAGTATGGTGATTAAGGTAAGATTTTTGTATTACCAAATTGGAAAAGCGAAGTAAGATTTTCCTTAACTACCATCATTATAGTCTTACAGCTGAAAATGAGTGAATGAAGAAAATATAAAAAAGAAAAACTTTGACGGTGGTAGCAAAATCTGTTGATCACAATACATTGTTGGCCAAGCTTATTCGGCTACACATTTGAAATATTAATGATGTAAAGTAGAACGATGTTCTAGATGTGCGGTTAGGTGAACATGTCCAGCAATGTATTGTGGTCAGTAGATTCAAATTCCTTCACTAAGCTTATGTTTGGTTTGAAGGAAAAGGTAAGAAAGGAAAGGGAAATGTAAAGAAACCTATACAAGGTTTGTAAAGGTTTCCCTACATTTCCCTTCCTTTCCCTACTTTTACCTTTAAACCAAACACAACATAATGGATATTATTGGATAATGGTAGCATGGTGAAGAAGGAATAATACATTTTTTTATAAACAAAAGCTCTATGCTCATATGTTGAGAACATCTACCAATGAATTTAAACAAAAAGCCCCCTGTTAATGAATTTTATTGTCCAAAACTCACCATTCGTTAGGTTTTCGTTAGGCCACCATTAGTGAGCATTAAAAGAAGTTGTCCATAAGCATTTAAACATTTTATATGACCAAACTACCCCTAAAACCCCTGATTGTTTATATATAACAAATATGCATATATATTTTAAATATGTGTGGGTTGGGTTAGGCCTAGGCTGGCTTAAAATATTAGGCCCACATCCGACTCTAAAATTTGTAGGAGTGTGGACCCGGGCCTAGGTCAGGGGTAGTTTTGTCATAAAAAATAGCAAGCTTGACAACCATTCAGGGGTATTTTGGTCATGCAAAATACTTAATTCTTATATGGACAATTTTTATTAATGGTTACTACAATGATCTAAAGGAAATTTTAATGGAATGTGAGTTTTGGACAATAAAACTCACTGACATGGGACTCTCTAGAGGTTTTGAAAAGTCATGGTGAGTTTAAGAGAAATGTGAAAAGTCATGGTGTGTTTTGGATAATATCCCTTTTTGATTAAACTATTAAATAAAATAATTAAAATGTGATAATGTATCATGTATGGAGGAACCTTCAAGAATCAAAACAATCCAGAGTCCAAACTGTTTTTCCCAAACAACCAAACCTTTCTTTGATGGAGTAGTGAGAGACATTTGCACTAGACATCGTCGTCATATGGTGGACGTAGATGGTCTCATGCAAGGGCCAAACTCCTCCCATCATGTGGTCCTTATAATCTCAATTTCAATAAGCAATATAGAAATTGCATGACTTTCGATAAATAAATACACTAGGGAGCGCAAGTACCTAATATGTTGCTCTAATGATTCAATGAACCTCCTTAAATGACTAAGGAAGTAGTTTGAAAGGCCAATCAATCAATCAATCTATCTATCTATATATCTATCTACCTATCTATCTATCTATCTATCTATCTATATTGCTTAGACCATTAGAATACAGAGGATACCGAATTGGTACCCCACAGACTCTTGCGATGAGTTCACAACTCATCAGTTGCCTGCGATGATCTTATAATCCATCAAACGACTACGGTGAATATATAATTCATCACATGATTAAGACAAACGCATACTTAAGACAAGTCACGATGAGCCTTGGCTAATGTAAATCCGTAATGAACTCTAGGTGCACGGTTCTGTGATGAACTTCAGATGCATGCGGAATCACGATGAATTTGAGATCATTACATAACGGCAAAATCGGGAACAAATATCAGTTACACGTACGTCTTTAATTACGCGTGTAATAAGGCGCCATGTGGGTCTAGTAAAAGTGCACCTGCTAAATGGTGATGTCACTAGTGCCACGTTGGTTAATTGGGTCACGAAATGAAGTAACACACGTGGATTATGAGAATCCTTGGATGAAATAAAAGTTAGTCCTTGAAAGATCTCATAAGATACGTGGTGAAACCCCAACAGTGCTCCTTAATAATTGACAACAAATCTAATATTTCCTTTCATAGTGAAAATCAAACACTTTTGGCTCCTTCCTTTCGGGACCTCAGGATATCTCCCTATAAATAAGAGCCCATCTCATGATGACAAGATTCATTCAATCATCTTCAACCCTACTTCCTGCCTCAGGTCTTCCTTCGTCTTTCAAGGAGACCACTTTCACGTAGCCTAACCGCAGTATATATATATATATATATATAAGAGCCCATCTCATGACGACAGGATTCATTCGATCATCCCATTACTCACTCGGCCTCATCACCTTACCATTTACCCTAGCCTTCAACCCTACTTCCTGCCTCGGGTCTTCCTTCGTCTTTCAAGGAGACCAATCTCACGTAGCCTAACCACAATACTTATATATACTAAAGTAAGGCAAGCCATGTCAAGTGGCCTCTCATTGCTCCATTACCCTAATCCTACAATTCTATAGGGGGTGTATTATTCCCTATGAAGTAAGTGGAGTTGCCACCTCATCGTGCCTTATCTTCTTTTTTCCTTTCCTCTTTAATAAGAAACTAAAATTATACATATAGTGAATTCAAAATTTCCAGGAATTATATAAGGTTCTTTGTGAAGCCAATCCTCACTCTAATTTGATTTTATCTCCCACTAGCCATGTGGCACCACTACCCCTACCTAAATTATATCTAATTCCTATTTATCTAATATGTTATCGTTAATTTAGGCAAGAGTTTCTCTCCTAAATTATCTACAATTCCTAATTATCCTCTCCCCCACTTTTCATCTATATCTATCTAAAAAGTTTGAATAAAAAAAATTACATATTATTTAAATATTTAAATTAAAAAACAAAATTATTTAAATATTACTAAAATAATAAAAATTTAAAATAAAAAATAAATATTATTTAAATATATAAATAACAAAATACTAAAAATAGCTAAATAATTATATAAAAATATTTAGTATTACATAATAACATTAAAATAAATACAACTTAAATAAAAATTTCAACTATTTTACATATTATTTAAAAATTTAAATAACTAAATATTCTAAATAATGAAATATTTAACATAACTAAATTTTAAATATTTAAAATCATGAAATTATGTAATAAATTTTAAAATTTTCTTAAAAGTAGAAAATAGTTATAATAGATTTCATAATACTAAAAAATAATAATTTTATATTTTACAAAGTTAATAACAAAATTATGTAATAATGGTATAAATTATAATTTTATGGATTACTAAATTTAATAAGTAATTAATATTTTAAAATATAAATAATGATATTATTTAAATAACTAATCATATTGTAAATAAATAAATTTGAAATACTTTAAATATCAAAGAAATTAAAAATTAAATCATATTTTAAATATTATTTCAAAAACAAAAGTAGGTTAAATAATTAAAGTATGTAATAACTTTAAAAAAATTATCAAAAACACAAAAATAATGACAATAGATTAGATCTAATAATATTTGATAATAAGAATATAAAATATAAATAATTAAGAAATAACTAATAATATTGTTATAAACTAATTCTTCTGTATTTTAGATATCAAAAAATTTTAATAACTAAATCACATTTTCAACATTATTTAAAAACATAAAATATATTAAATAATGGAATTATGTAATAACTTTAAAAAATTTATCAAAAACACAAAATTAATTAAAATAGATATAATAATATTTGACAATAGGAATATAAAATGTAAATAATTTAAAATTTTTTAAAGATAACTGAAATAGTGAAAAATAGATTAAATAACTTAGAGGTATTAAAGCTTTTTATTGGTTATTTATTGTATTTCCGTTATAAATTTACTTTTAGTAATTGCATATTTTTGTTATTAATTTTCAATAATTATTGGAGATTAAACTATTGCTATTTGTTAGGATTAAACTATTAATTTAGGTAAAATTAGGAATATTCACTAGGTAATTAGATTGCTGATTATTTGACCAACGGAACTGATTTGATTAGGGTTGGGGACTTGCCGAGTTTGTGACTCGAAAATAACCAACCATTGATGAACACCAACCAACTCAAGTTATATAGGTCAACATTTTAAAAATTGATCTAGAGACCAGCCCACTTTTGCATTCGAGTCACGGTCATTGGTTCAACTGTCCGAATCGAACGGATAGGACCATTCCATGTTAGCACTCTATATTATATATATATAATTAACTGAAGTGGTTTATCGACATACTCTCTACATATGAGGTTCAAATCACCTTTCTGCAACCGCGCACTTATAACTGCCCATAAATTAGATACTGCTCAGAACCAAAATCTCTCCCCATTCCCGCTACTCTCCATCTGAGCTTGGAGTTGGAGAGAAGTCCGACGCCGACGATCGTTGTAGCAAACACACCGAAGGTATTCCACATCCTTCAATGAAATTACTGTATGAATAAGCGTTCAATCGACGAAAGTCCCGAGTCCTGAACAGTAACTATATGTATTCCTTTCAATCCGTCTCTCTCTCTCTTTCTCTCTCTTTGTTCCTATTATGTTTTTCTTAATCTTAGTTGCTTTTGTAGTAGATTGATTGATATTTCGAGAACGAGGGAAGTTGTTCCGAGTGAGTAACAACTTAATCGGAATTATGAAGTTCGCGGTCTTTTTGTTCTCGATTCTAATCTTGGCCAGACTCATAGGTGCGTGATACATGTCTCATGGCTTCTCTGGATTTACCTCTGCATGTTGTTCCTCCTCTATGTTCTTCTTTTCTGCCTCATGATCCTCGCTTTCGTGGTGACTAACAAGAGTGTAGGAGAGGTTTTGTCGTATAAAGGGTATAAGGAGTATAAATTAGGGGACTATTCAAATTGGTTGCAGAAGAGGGTTAACAACAACATAAACTAGCACAAGATCAAGAGTTGCTTGATGAATAGTTATGTCTGCAATAGCCTTAGCGATGCCATCGACACAGTTGAACAGTTTTATGCTCGGCACTTATCATCGATTCAGGTGTGTCACGTCATTCCCTTGTTCATATCGTTTTATTTATTCTGTGTGTACAAATCTAAATGTGGGTACTTTTATTTTTTATTTTTTCAGAATTCGTTTCATCTATATCAGCTTTTTTTTCTTCCTTTTTCTTTATCAACTTTAGGGATTTTGATCTTGAAACTTTTTGGTAGATCCCCTCCCAATTTTGGATTTCCTACCTTTATCTTCCTGTTTCACAACATTATTCCTTGAAACAGACATTTGAGAAAATTTCCTTCACTCCTTGGTACAAATTACAGTTGGTTTGGGTATCTACCATCTATCACCACGACAGTATGACCGAACTTTCATTGCATTTTTGTAACTGGTTTTATTAAAAAACTACTGATTGAAACATTAATTTTCTTTTTGACTGATTGCTCAACATTGGGTTTGTAAAATATTGGTTTTTGTTAATTTTTTTGCTATTTCAATTTTGATATCTCAATCTTTCCTGAGATCCCATTTAGATTATAAGTTCAGTTTTCTGCAATTCACTTGGCCAGAATGTTGTCCTCTGTTTTCAAGTGTTGAGCCATGAAAATGGCTCATGATATGAGCCATCAGTTTTCTATCCCTCTTGTCTAAGCACATAGCGGGCATAAAGATGTCCTTTACTCTCACTTCAGAAATTGTCCACTCATAATTGTTCAAAAACTACTCATGAATTATAAATAATTTTGTCTTGGAGCTGCCACGTGCAAATAGGTTTCTCCCTCACACCCTCACTCAATCAGTTTCTCTCTCAAATACGAAGGTATTTCGCGTCTTTCTATGAAATCACTGTGTGAACAAACGTTGAATCAATGAAAGTACCGAGTCCTAAACAGTAACTATATATTCCTTTCAACCCGTCGTTGATCTCTCTCTCTGTTCCTATTATGTTTTTCTTAATCTCAGATGCTTTTGTAGTAGATTGATTGATATTTCGAGAACGAGGGAAGTTGTTCCGAGTGAGTAACAACTTAATCGGAATTATGAAGTTCGTGGTCCTTTTGTTCTCGATTTCGATCTTAGGAGGTGGAATATGGCTGGCAAATAGAGCGAGCACTGATAGTGAGAAGTTCCTCGAGAAATCCATTATTTCTTTGGGGGTGTTTCTCATGTTTGTGTCTCTCGCCGGACTCATAGGTGCGTGTTACAAGGTATCATGGCTTCTCTGGATTTACCTCTATGTGATGTTCCTCCTCATTGTTCTTCTTTTCTGCTTCACGATCTTCACTTTCGTGGTGACTAACAAGAGTGCATGAGAAGTTTTGTCGGATAAAGGGTATAAGGAGTATAAACTGGGGGATTATTCAAATTGGTTGCAGAAGAAGGTTAACAACAACAAAAATTGGAACAAGATCAAGAGTTTCTAGATGAATAGTTATGTCTGCAATAGCCTCAGCGATGCAACCAACACAGTTGAACAGTTTTATGCTCGGCACTTGTCATCGATTCAGGTGTGTAACATCATTTCCTTGATAATATCGTTTTATATATTATTTGTGTATAAATTTGAATGTGGGTACTTTTATTTTTTTTCGGATTTTGGTTTTGATTTTTTGTTTTCTAAGCATTTGCCATAATTTCTCAAAGAAGCAGAATCTGTTTCATCTATATCTGTTTTTTTTTTCTTCCTTTCTCTTTATCAACTTTAGGGATTTTGATCTTGAAACATTTTGGTAGATCCCCTCCCATTTTTGAATTTCCTACCTTTTTCTTCCTGTTTGATAGCATTATTCCTTGAAACAGACATTTGAGAAATTTTCCTTCACTTCTTGGTAGAAATCACAGTTGGTTTGGGTATCTACCATCTATCACCACGATAGTATGACTGAATTTTCACTGCATTTTTGTAACTGGGTTTATTAGAAAACTACTGATTGAAACATGAATTTTCTTTTTGATTGATTGCTCAACATTGGGTTTGTAAAATATTGGTTTCTGTTATTTTTCTTGCTATTTCAATTTTGATATCTCAATCTTTCCTGTGATCCCATGTAGATTATAAGTTCAGTTTTCTACAGTGCACTTTGCCAGAATGTTGTCCTCTGTTTTCAAGTGTTGAGCCATGAAAATGGCTCATGATATGAGCCATCAGCTTTCTATCCCTCTTGTCTAAGCACACAGCGGGCACAAAGAGAGCATATATGTCCTTTACTCTCACTTCAGAAACTACCCACTTATAAGTTTTAACCGTTTAGAAACTACCCATGAATTATAAATAGTTTTATCTCAGAGATACTGCCACGTGCAAATGCACGTACACGTTTACTGCCCCTACTTAGTCTCTCACTTTCAGGAATTTTCACTAGACACATTCTACCTCCACCTGTTTATGTATACAGAGGGCATATATGTCCTTTACTCTTGCTGTAATAGAAACCGAAAAAATGGTTGTATCTCCCACAACCTCTTCCCTGTCTCCCACAAACTCTTCCCACCAACTGCCCCTCTAACTGTAAAACCAGCAGTTTTATCTCCCATAAAATCTTTCCTGCAAACCGTTTTATCTCCCACAAACTATTTCCTGCAATTAAATTCCCACCATAATCGAAACCCGAACATAACAAAATTTACAACTTTATACTGTCTAGGAGGGTGGAACTATAGTGGAACTATAGCGAATTTCGGATATATGAGAGATGACTTGGGAGGGGGTGTGACTCTGCTGATGAACCCTCTATCGTTAGCTTTGAATTTTGTGACTCTACTGATGAACAATATGTTCCTGATTCATTGACGGATTTGGAGTCTAATCAGACAGTTCCATGTGATTTACCCTCATCATCACAGGGCCACCATGTAAGAAAAAACGCGAGTTCAAGTGGTAGATATCATAAGAAGGTTAGCTTCTGGGATTTGGACCCAGAGTTCAACCACATATTGGAGTGGTGAAAATGATGGGGAGCATTCAGACATCATTGAACCACCACCATTTCATGAACACTCTGTTGCATCGGAAGGAAGAGAACAATTGAGATTTCCATGTGCCAGGAATCGTCCTCAAGTGAGAGGGTGCAAAACAATTATTGATATGCTCATGCAAATGGAGCACAAGAGGCAAAGGGAGCTTACCGAGTTACCATGCTGGTTGAGCACCACGCAGTATCAAGGTTCCCACAACAAGGTCGCATTCCGGTGAACATAGAACTAATTAGGGTCCGTTTGGTTCTTGGAATCAGATGAAATGGCATTTCCTTCGAAGGGAGGGAGAGGGAATGGCCATTCCCTGAAATGGGAATGGAAATGGAATTCTAATTCCATCCAACCAAACAGTTGGAATTCCACTATTCCAATTTTGATTCCATACCCCTATTCCTATGAATCAAATGGGCCCTCACTTCTCTTTTTGACAATTGTTCTTCTTCCATTTGTACACTATATTGACTTCTTGTATGTCAATACATGTTTAGTCATTGCTCTCAGACTTAGATTCTGAACAGAATCAAATTCAACCAGTTTGATTCTTCTGATGATGAAGCTGAGTCAAGTTCTACTGATGATGAACCAGTTTTCAATAAGCATAGATTGATTTCTGATTGGATTTTGCCCAAATCCAATGAATTAGGTGAAATCACCGGATGCCAACTGAAGGGAAGACATGCTTCTGTTACAGGGGTTGATTTTAAAGCTAAGATAGCTAATAAAATGCATACAAGATTGAACAAGAAGGGACATGATTCAGTATACAGGGAGATGAGGGGGAAATTTTGTGAGGAAGACCATAGAAAGAAGAACAACAACATTGAGCAAGAGACAACCACACTCAGTGATGCTTGTGCTTTCATGAATTCCATAATAGAGGAGTTGAAAGTTGCGAGAGAGAAAATGCTTTAATGGATGATAGAGGAGATGAGAAGGGTCATGGCTGATGATGATGTTCTAGAGCGAAATGACATAACAGGCAATCATCAACAGGATATGATCAAAGTACAGTCTCAGAACAGCCCTGAGTTAGGATCAGAGGCCCAAGCTTGCAAATGGGAAGCCTTGGTGAGGCCCAAGCAAAAATGGATCTTGCGGATCAAGATCAAAGGCATCCAGATGCTGAACAGAACCAAATTCAGCAAAGAACTTCCATCAGGTTTCTAAGGTACAATTAATGTTATTTTAACTTTTGTTTCAACAGGATGTTCATGTAATGTTGGAAGATCACTCAATTTACATTTGTTTAAGTTCTTTTTTGTGTCTGTCATGTATCTACCCAAAGCTTTCCAAGGCTAAAAATAAGATAAATCAGATAAAGAAGCCATCTGACTAGTATCTTCCTCTTGATAATTAAGAAAAATCAGCTACCAATAATGGAAAACAACTCCAACTATGGAGTGGTCCCAATTAGGGTGTCTTATTGTTAGGCCAAGTCCTAAGCTCAAAGATTAGTGGGAACATGAGCAAGGTTTATTTAGAAAAAATATACAGGTTTAATGGAGTCCAGGGTGGCTCATCATGTATGGTGCATGAAGTCTTCCAACCTTGAACTCTAAACAACAGAAATTTCCGGTTCAATAGATGGTTTATCCTACTCTAAAATTGTGGGAGTCCCTTTAAATGGATATTCATGTTCTTGCTATTGAGCTTAGTGTTATTTTTTTACTGGGCCAAACATTTTCACTCACTGGAGTAGATTTTGCTGATAACAGTTTCAAATGAATGCCTTGTGTAGAAAAGTAGAAGAAGCTGAGAGGTTTCAGCAGTAAAGAAGAATAAGAGAGAGAAGAAAAGAGAGTGGAATGTTGCCAGAATTGAATGAGTCTGACGCCATCCCCTCTTGATTTATATACTTAAAATAAAAGAATGGAAGATTACATGAATACCTTAGTAGGATGGCTATTTTAAGTAACTGAACAGACCCAACCTAAAATAACATAAACTAATGGGCCTAAGGCCCAATTACTTCCTAACTTAATAACTTAAAAATAAAAAATAAAAGGCTGGGCCCAATAACTTAAAATCAGCCCAACTCAACAAGTGGATAAATATAAGTATTTTATTGGAAACTATAGTAACAACTCATATTATTGAATTAGTCTGCACAAGTACTAAAAAGAGGGATCATGAAAATTGCCATCAAGTAATTACCTAGATTTATATTATTTGTTATATTTCTCATGTGTCGTATTGGGATTTGAGGTGAAGCAAGGAAATTTTAAAAGAATAAAAAAGAATCAGTTCCATTTCCCTTAAGGCTAAACCAATTGTGCATTCTACCTAAAGCAAACAATGGGGATAACAGGTTACCAAATTCTGAAAACTATGTAAGGGTTAATATCAACCATTTTATTTGTTTATTTATTTATAAATAAACTTAAATTTGTTGGAGTTGAGGTAGGCGAGTAGTAAATAATGTTCTAGTAATGAGTTGGATGAACTATATTGGATTTAACAACTTGTGACTACAAGATGTTAGAGGCCCCAAGCTGATTTTTCAATAAGTACTGAGTAGGGGAGTTCGAAAGACAAGTGAACTAAGATAGCAAGAGAGCTAGAATGTTAGAATAGGAGCTTTACCTTAGATGGTATGCCTTAAGATACCTACTAGGGAGTGTTGTTGTGCTCTTTGCATGAGGTTGTGTCCCAAGGTCATCCTCAACAAACCTTCCAGAAGTGTGGTCGTTATCTTTGCCCAATGAACTATCCAAATCGATTAGTGATGTAAAAGATGAAGTTCAAGAAGGTAGAGGTACGATGCTTTATTTTTATAATTTTTTTTAACTTTTCATTTCATACTTTAATCATTATGATGGCAACCTCCCACGTGCAATGCATTAGGGTCAATACTGTCATTTTCGATTATCATTGATTAAATTCATGAAACTCTATAAGGGGTATTTTAGTAAATGACATTTTCTATTATTTAGCCTTCACTTAATAAATCCCATGCATCGCACGAGTCCCCACTAATATTAATTAAACGATGTATCAAAAATTGGAATGTACATTACTTCGGGACACTAATGAGTTACACTATTATGCACATTAATTTGTGGGTTCACATGTAATCATCTCGTGTGACAATAAGAAATAACCAATTGTAATTTACTTCTGTATATTCAATGTTTCGATAATTTATATATGATGTAACTATATAAATATATAATCTATATATATAATTTATATAGAGAGAGAGATTAAAACAAAGAGGTAAAGAAATTTTCTCCTTTTCTTGAATTTTTTGTTTTTTTATTCCATGTCATTTTTGAAACAACTAATGAGATGCACTTTTCCAATCACCTAAATAATCTCTTCTCCTAAAATTTATCCTAAACTACCTCCCCCACTTTCTCCAGAATTATCTCTAATTCCTAATTATCTTCTAAATTATCTCTAATTCATAATCTCCACAATTATCTCTAATTCATATTTATCCTCTCCCCTCCTTTTTATCTATATCTATCTAAAGAAAGTTTGGATTAAAAATTTTAAGAATTATTTAAATATTCTAACAAAATTATATAATAACTTCAAAATATTTAAAAAAAACACAAAAAATAATTTTATATTTTTACAAAATATATCATGAAATTATGTACTGACAATTTAAATTATGTTTTTCTGGATTATCAATTTAAATGATTTTCAAATATTTAATAATATGTAATAGCTTTAAATAAATAAAATTCAAATATTTAATAGATTATTTAAATATTTAAATAACTAAATATTTATCATAACTATATTTTAACAAAATATATCACGAAATTATGTACTAACAATTTAAATGTTTTTCAAACATTTAATAATATGTAATAGCTTTAAATATATAAAATTAAAATAACAAAAAAAAATAAATATTTCATAGATTGTTTAAATATTTAAATAATTAGATATTTATTATAACTAGATTTTAAATCGTTAAAATAATGAAATTATGTAATAAATTTAAAAATTTTTTCTAGAGCAGAAAAATAATTATAACATAATATTGAAATTAATAATAATTTAATATATTACAAAATTAATAATGAAATTCTGTAATAATAGTATAAATTATGATTTTATGGATAATTAAATTCCATAAATAACTAATATTTTAAAATTTAAATATTTTACATATTATTTAAGTATTTAAATAACTAGGCATTTTAAATAACAAAATATTTAACATAACTAGATTTTAAAAAGTTAAAATAAAGAAATTATGCAATAAATTTCAAAATTTTCTGAAAAGTAGAAAAATAACTATAACATAATATTGAAATTAATAATAATTTAATATTTTTAAATAATATTGTAAATAACTAATTTCACTTATATCAAGTAATAATTTGAGAAAATTAATTTCAAAAAATTAATTTTTATTAATAAAAAATTTAAACTCTTAATTTTTATTTATTATATAATTATACATAGTAAAATTAATATTTATTGTATTTCAATAATTATTTATTGTTATAAAGGGAAAAATGGTATTTTTATTTTTATTTTCTTTTGATAAATTTATTTAAATGAACATTAGGGTCATCATTGTTATTTTCCACTGTCATCTAATGGAAGATTGATTAAATCCATCGCAAATTATAACTGGTGTTTTAGTAAAATTTTAACTATATAGTAGATTTTAGTAAATCTATGAAACTATAAGGGGTATTTTAGTAAATGACCATTTTTATTATTTAGCTTTCGCTTAATAAATCTCGTCCACTGCATGGGTCTCCGCTAGTATATATTAAAACAAAGCGGTCAAGAATTTTTTTAGTTTTTTTGAATTTTTTATTTTTTTATTCCATGTCATTTTTTAAACAACCAATGAGATGCACTTTCCCAATAACCTAAATAATCTCTTCTCCTAAAATTTCTCTTAAACTACCTCCCCCACTATCTCCAAAATTATCTTTAATTCCTATTTATTTTCTAAATTATCTCTAATTCCTTTTTATCTCTAAAAATATCTCTAATTTAAATAACTAAATATTTATTATACCTAGATTTTAAATAGTTAAAATAATGAAATCATGTAATAAATTTAAAAAATTTCTTCAAAGTAGAAAAATAATTATAATATAATATTGAAATTAATAATAATTTAATATATTATAAAATTAATAATGAAATTATGTAATAATAGTATAAATTATGATTTTATGGATAATTAAATTCAATAAATAATTAATATTTAAATATTTAAATATTTTACATATTATGAAGCCTTAAGAGTTTTATAGGAAGAAATCCTCCTAGACTTGAACCATTCATAAGCCAAGATTAAAATTTAAACAATAAAGGCAAACCAGAGATTGCCTGTCCACTTCTCTTTATTGTCACTACAACTTCCGATGATAGAAGACAACAGGAAAAAGGAAAAACAAAAGAGAAATAGTGCTGACCAACAGTATCAGAGGATGGTACAGGTCGAAGGTGAACCAACAACATCAGCGGTCGGTGTACCGGGCTTGATACCGGGCCATTGACAGCAGAAATAGTGCTAACCATCCTGGATCTGTTTGTAGACGGAGGCGACGTGCCTTCCGCAACCAGCCCAACTGCTCTTCCCGCAGGACGAACACCTCACGACGTAACACATATTCTATCCTTGTCCGCTACACCTGTATGCCTTCTGTTTGTTACTTTGTTTCAGAGATTTCTTTATGAAATTTTGGATTTCTGATTTGGGGGATGGCTTTGCTTCAGCTGGTAAACGCATTCATACTTCATACCGTTGAACGGCTTGGCTGCAAATGGCGACAAAGGCTGCAAACGCGTTCATACTTCTACGAGGTTTAGTAATTGATGGTTGTCGGCCATGGCGACGCCACACACACATACAGAGAGGAAGTAATAGTAGTTCTTCGATTTTTGGTCTGGTATAGTAATAATAATAATAATAATAATAATAATAATAATAATAATAATAATAATAATAATAATAATAATAATAATAATAATAATAATGTAGAGCATGAAGTGGGGTTCATGTGGATTCTTACTTGTGCATGTGTGAGTCCACGTGGGTTTTTAGTTAAATTGTATAGCATAACATGTGGAAAGCATTATATATATGTATCAGTGAAGTGAGGGTTAAAATTGTCATTATATATATGTATGAGTGAAGTGAGGGTTAAAATTGTCATTATATATATGTATGAGTGAAGTGAGGTCTCAAGGGGAGCTCGGGGCGCTCCACCCTCAGGCTTGGGGCGAGCTGGGCCTTGTTTCTCGACGAGTTGTCACACCCGCCGAGTCGTTTGGTCGGGCTTCGGCGAGCTTGTTACGCCGAGCTGTGGACAGGCTGTCGCGTTGAGTTGTCACTTATGCCAGGTCATGTCCACGTGTCCCCGTGCTACGAGGTTGGGTCAAATCACTCTACATCAATTGCCCCCCACTCCCCGTGCTAGGGGTCCTGACCCAGCGCGGGGAGTTCGCAGTCTATCGGTTAGATTTGGCTCGGGGCCTAAGCTTTCTTGCCCGCCAGCTCATCAATTGGACCGATTCACTGTTCGGCTCTATCAAGTGCAGCCTGGGTCGCGTACGGTCTACGCGCGGACGTCACGCGACTTATGGACTCTACGGACGTCAAAAAACACGCTAAACCGATTTCACCTCGAAGGTCGCACAATCGATTTTCATGAGAACCGTCAGATTGTTTCGATCTCAACCGTTGATGCCCGCGTATAGTGGCTATAAATAGTGGGGGTC